AAGTTTCAGTTCCACTCTTCCCTCAAAATTAAGGAGTAACCAGAAAATTCCGATCAATTTATCCATGAATTTTATGGAGTTGAATCCTCCATCATCTGTGACTTGCCATAGTGAAATTCGTTAACCTAAGAAACGGAAATCGCGAGATTTAACAGTAATTTCTAGTTAGCAGCAGAATTGCAAATTTCGGAGGCTTCAATAATTTTCCAAGACATTATGGCCATTTTTGTAGGAACTCATTTCTTATTTTCAGAGTAATGTAACAGATTTTTCGGCACATACCGCTGATTTCCATAAACATCTTTGTCACTTCTCTTTGTAGACATGCGGCAATGTATGAACTCTGTTGGAAAATAAATGAAATTCCATGAACAGTTCACTACTAATTTTCCGGGCAGCGAACCTAGATTTTCTGTGGGATCTGAAATTTTATGTTTTTCAATCCTTTAAATAATTAATTTCATATGTATCGCGACCCAGAATGACTCAGAAAAAAATGAACTTAACTCTCCGGGTCTTTGTTTTTCACAAATTATTCAGGGAGAAATAAAATTGAAGTTTCTAGTTCTCACTGAATTTTCCCCCTGAACCCTTAATTGTCAATGACGACCTTCCTTGAAATTTCAGTGAAACGAAGACGATAAAAAACAGCGGGAATTCTCCACAGAAAATTCAGTGGAATTCGGTACGAAATATTTCAAATGAATGGAGGAATTTTCGCCTTGATGGTGTTTGTAATTATGGCGTTTTGCAGAATTTTCTGTGATATATGAAGTTCCAGCGTTATTTTCACCTCCAATAGAATTTTTCACACATCTAATTTTCTAAAACGACTTTGATGTACTAAAACAACATCGCTGAAGTTTTAACGGAGTTCTTCATTGACAATTGACAATTTCAGGGAGAACTCAATGAGTGACGATAAATTTCGGCTCTATCCTTCTTCGAGAATTGAGGGATAACCGAAAAATTATAATCAATTTGTTCTCGAATGTTCAGGACCGCGGCACGGATATTTCTGAAAGAGTTTTTTTCCTCTTAACCAAAAGTGTGAAAAAAAATCGTAGAATACGGGAAAAATGATCTATAAATATTGGTTTAATGGATTTTTGACTATTAAAAGTTAAAGATAGACCATGAGGATTGTGGAACCCGACATTTGAAGATTCAAAATGGCAGAGGAAACTCTGACCACATTGTAAATATCATGAAGTTGGTTCCGGGTGACTAAGGAAGTTTGGGTTGACAGACACAGACACATACACAGGCACAAAAATCTGGTCATATCTAGTGCTTAATCATTCTCTCTTGTTGATCTTCGCTTGTTTTTCAAAGCGTTTTTTCTCATCGTATCATATGATCAGGATATTATCAAAGGTAAGTAATTATATAATTCATATTTCTTACTAAGCTTTGTACTATGTAACAAGGGCGGGAAACAGAGCATTAAAACCCACGTGATATTCTTCTCAGATCGTTTAATAAAAGAAAAATGAACAGAAAGGAGATTGACGCGCAGGCTGAAGTGAATGAGCAGAGAGAAATGGCAGAGGCAGAAATACGAGAGGAGGGAAAAAACCAAGCGGAGCAACAGGAGAGTGGTGAGCGGGAAAGAAGGGAGCAGGAGAGAGGAGAGCAAGAGGATCAGCAGCAGGGTGGTGAGCGAGAAGGAAGAGAGCAGGAGGGAGGAGAGCAAAGAATAAGGCAGGTTGCACAAAAAAATAGAGAACCAGTGAGGATGATCCTGAGGCCTCATCAGGGCCCTCGTGGGGATAAAGGAGACCAGGGGCCTCGAGGACAAAGGGGCATGAGAGGAAGGGTTGGAAAGCCAGGACCACGGGGCTTCCCAGGAGGAATGGGTGTAGCTGGACTGAGGGGCGTCCCAGGAGAAATGGGTCTACCTGGACCAAGGGGCCCATCAGGACCAAGGGGCCAACGAGGACAAAGGGGTCCACGAGGACAAATGGGCCCGCAAGGACAAATGGGCCCACGAGGACGAATAGGCCCACGAGGAGAAAGAGGGGCGGAGGGACAAGGACTAATGGGTGTGCCAGGACCCAGGGGTGAACCAGGACCAAGGGGTCCCGACGGTGGGATGGTGTTCATGGCAATCCAGCAAGG